TAAGTAACGTAACCTAACTAACGTAAGTAAGTAACGTAGTACGTAGTAGTAGTACGTACGGTAGGTACGTACCTAACCGTAACAACGACTACACCCTACCCCTACCTACTCTCTCTCTCTCTCCTCCTCTCTCTCTCTCTCTCTCTCTCTCTCTCTCTCTGAAACATGTCCATCAAAATGACCACATAGAGAAACCAAAGTGAGACAGTAGAGGAAACTATCCAATATAAAGTTGGAGTCAAGAAACTCCATAAAAAAAAGAGAAAAATAAAAATGGGGATGAAGAAAGACCTTGCATGCAAGATGGTTCCCATACTTCCTATCTGTGTTGCAACCACCTGGACCGTCATTAGGTATAAGAAACATCTTCAGAGTATCATAATAAAGCAGAGAAAATACAATTTTGTACCTACAAGAATATGATCTTCATAACTGCATATCAGTATATCTGTTTTAGCTCCCTGTGAAGAGAAAAAGACAATGTCCATTATTATGTGTTCACTGCACAAAATCTGGCATCACAAGCAACTCTTAAAAGAGAAATTTACGGCACCATAAAATGTAGAATGCCTCAAACAATAGAGGAAATTACTACTCTTGTGGCAAAAATGTTTCATACCAGGACAGTAGGAAATGAAATAGAAACAAACCCATGAATGGCCAAAAGGGTTGGCAATTTTAGAAACAAATAAAGAAGCAACGATAATAACTAACTTTGAATAAGCAAGTAACTCGTTTTTTTTTTGAGATCTGGGATTAATCTAATAATTTTAGGAAAAACATAAATGTGGATAGTTTTCTTTTCTTTTTTCTTTTTGTTGAAAATCAGCAGCAATGTTCTTATACTTTTGTAAGCGATGCCATTTTACCACTTCTAGTTTCGTAAACCGTTGGCATTTCACAAGCTTCATTGGCAGCCAAGCTCACATCGTTAATATAAGAGTACTAAATAGTCTCCACCATAGCTTCCTAAAATCAAAGCTAAAAGCTAAATGAAAATGTTAAGAGCAACTACTAAATAGCCTCTTCCATGCTTCATGAGATCAGTAATCATTGAAGCTCCATTTATTCATGAAAATTCAATGCGACAGATGCTCTATGAAGCTCCATTTCTTCATGAAAATTTGATGCGACAGATGCTCAGAAACAAACATATTAAGTATTGTATTCAAATTGTTCACATGGCCTCTAAATTCCCAATTTCGCACGGCATGTTTAATTTACCAAGACAAACTCAGAATGCATCTACCTGAGAGAAATTCTAATACTAATCTCTTTCAATAACAACCTATAAGTCTACAATTATCTCTCATTTGAGATTGGCAGCAACTTTCCTCTAAAATCCCCGTTTGGGTTTGTTGGATAAAAAATTTGTTTCTCCTGAAATAGTGTTTTAAAAACAGGCCAGCTAGCTCTGAACCGTCCATGCTGGAGGTGGGTGCACTCTTTGGGTCTAAAGACCCCCCGGACTTGCCCAGTTCCCACAAGTTCCCATCGGTTTTTATTTTTTTTAGTTTATTTTTTTAGTAAAAACATCATGGAGAACTACGAGCACGATCAGAAATGGCCAATCAGGCTTCATTCAGCCTGTGACCAGTTCGGCTCGCTGGTTCCATTTTTAAAGCACTGTCCAGATTTGCATCATGTGACCATGAAAATATTTTAGCAAAAATATTTCAAGGTTGTTTGCATAATATCTGCTTGGTCAAAAAAATCTTGAAAGCTTTTGAGCAACTTTACAAATATTTTGGAAAGTATTTTAAGATATACAATCAATAAGATTATTCCACACAATCTTAGGACGTTATGAGGAAAAACTGGTATAATTAATGGAAGAAAAAGTCCTTGCCATGAACTCTATGAAATTGTCAATTTCACTTTGGCAGAGATGAGAGCGAGTGTATGTATGGACCCTAAAATGTAGATAACTACTGGAGTAAGAAGCCCATTCATTTAATTTAATGTGGACAAGTTTATTGTTAGCTATATTTCAGGACTCCCTCATATACCAAAATGTCTACTAGACCTATGGGAACATAAGGTTAAAAAACACAAAAATTTATGAACAAGCATTGGTTTATTTTGATGGTAGTAGCATAGTGTTCCATGATGTGTTGATGGGCACAGGAAGATATTAAGAAATTTCTCCTGTAAATAATAATATTAGCATAGGGATTATGAGATGCACCTATCCTACCATGATGTCTATATAGCTTGTAAAATTTTCAAGTGAAGCAGATTTCGTTTTCCATCTACGAGAATAAGAAAAGTACATGATCGCCTTTACATTTGGGGGAAATAAATCAATATCACCTACTTTGAAAATGGAATATGCGATGTAAACCTCTAGAAATGAAAGGGTAAACACCTCAAAGAAAAAGAGAAAAACAAAAAAGATAGGAAAGATTTGCAGGAAGAATTAATAAAAGAAAAACATAAACATTGTAGGAGAAAATAAAATAATATAGTATCCATAAAGTTCCCAAAAACATCATCGATCAGGGCTTTAGGCCCATACTTCAATTTGGCCGAACCCAACTTCAAAAATACAATAAATAAAAGTTAAGTAAAACCCAAAACGCGAAAAGGAAATCCATGAGAAGACCCTATAATACAGAGTTAAAAACAAATACAAAGATAAGAGTTCAGTAAAATCCAAATAGCAAAACTGAAATACAGGATAAAATAGAATTACACAGCCTTCTTCCACAAAATGAAAAGAAAAAAAGATATTTAGATAGAATTAAATCATTGAAGCACGAATTGTTTTCCTCTTCTTCTTTTTTCTTTTTTACCCAATAATTTGCAGCTACATTGAGTGGACAATACATACGATTACACAAAAATATTTACGTAGAAACTTGATGGTTTTAATTATTGAAACAGGGATAAATGAAAATAAGAATAGTAAATAATTCAAAAGTCTCATATTCATGTAACTGAATAAAACCCACTCTAATCACCACATAGAATCCACTACTACAAGGAAGAAATTACAGGAAGAAAATAAGTCCAAAAATATATAAGAAAAAATACCTTGATATCAACTGCGATGTTTCTATGAGGGACTGGAAAACGAACACTATCACGATCCATTGCTGTAAATTGAAAGTTCCTCCTTGCTGGGAAGATAGAAGTTACTGCAAGAAGTTCCTGGTTTCTGTGTTTAATGACTCCTGGGAAGTTAAAGAAGTTCCCGGTTTCTGCGTTTGACAACCTCCTGGAATGTTAAGTAAGTTCTAAGTACCTGGATTGCCAACCAGAATACCCCGAAGTAAGTCATGATTTTAAAGTATAGAACAATGAGCATTTCCTAACCTATAGTTTTTCATGAAGTAACACAAGAATATATACAATTTATAAGGGATTTGGGCTCAATGTTTGTTGGTCGGGGCATTGAGGGCTGCAACAAAATGTCCAATGTTTAAATTTCATTGCTGACCTAACAAAATAGTCTCAATATCATACAATCTACTAATGAAAATATAAATTAGTATCATACAATCTACTAATGAAATATAAATTGATATTATGTGATTTTCCTTAGAGCAAGATGATGCATCATGATCAATCAATATGGTGCCCAGAACACACCCTATTATGGGCTTTTATGGCTTTCACAGCCATCCATCACTGGTATGTAGAGACCATAAAGAGCCTAAAGTCATCACACATATATTATCTCCAGAAGCTTCTGATCACTTGATCATGTGCATAAACATACATATTTTTGCAAATACTTACATTTGTCTCTATAATCATACAACAAGTACATGGTAAACATCAGTGGGCAAATACCTCTACGTGAAAAAAGTAATTGGACATACCTATCAAGTGTATTTTTCAAAAGATAACATCGTTCATGACAGCTTGACTATGGTATTCAATCTCAATGTTCAGGACCTCCATGCAAGCATTTCCTGTAACGCTCCCATAAAACTCTAATACCAAATAATGTTGACCAATAGTGATGGACTAATATACTGAATTAACAACTGTTTCTAAAACAGTGAATTCTTAGTTTGACAGAATTCAGGTTTACAAACTCAGGAAACAGTCAAGCACTACTGTTATTCCATCACCAGAATCTTGTAGTGCTATTCCACAAATATAATTTTCTATTTTAAATGCCCAAAGAAAGTAATCTAGGATAAGTATTGGTCCATTAACTTATAAATAATCATGATCAAGTCTAAAGATACCACAGTCAAAATTATCAAAATGCCAACGATATATGTAACCAATTTCCCTTCATAAATGGATAGTAACCAATTCCTTTTGGGCATTTTGATCTAACAATCTTGCATCATATTCTTCTACTCAGTAAAGCTACTGCGAGGGTAACAGATTCAGATACAAATATAACCAACAGCACAAAGCTCAACTTTTGAAATCTAGGCATTTCAGAACAAAGGCCTTCTGTAGAAATATATAAAGAATGCAAGGTCTATGTAACTAAGTGCTTCTCATCATGAGATAGATCAAATGCACCCTACAAACCAGAGATAATCAGTTCCTAGTTAAAGGTGGAAATCCCAAGTTTAATTTATATAAAATGAAAAAAACAAGTTATTCAGACGGAAATTACAAGGAGTTGATGGAGCAGGAGGCATGCCGAGTGAAATTCAATAAAAAACCGCTACTCAATGGCATTATGCAATAAACAGATAACAAATCTTCGTACTTCCATATTGAGACTACGCTGGGGCTTTAGCTTCTCTTTGGAAGTTATTGTTAGACCACACCTAATTAAGCAAGTCTTCTTCCACAATGATCTACAACACATGCTACCATGATCTCACGTTCGCATACCATCGCAAAAAAAGAAGAACTTGATAGCAAAAACACAAGGGTAAAGAGGACCTTGTATACAATGAGAGAACAATCAAGCCATAAGATGTACTGAAAATGATGTTTATACTGATTAACAACAACAAGATTGTGAACTTTGCTGATGCTTTTTAGGAGATGAGGTTCAGGGGATGTTTTCCCATTGAGAAGACAAAAAGGTCATGGAGGCCCATTTGGCTCTCAGTCAATTGGCTCCCTGATTATTTATCCTTGAAATAGTAGTTGAAACTTTCATCATACTAATAATTAACAATATTTAATAAGAAAAGTAACAACATTAAAACATAAAGAAGAAAAAAAGTCCCCAATAGAACTTCTATATATCCAATGAAGTAAATGACTTGAAAGAGTTAAATGGAAGCTGTTTTAGAGATGAATTTAACCAATCACTTTGCATACTCTTGTTTTTATGTGAACTACACATCAATTTTGTCATGAAAAGCAAGACCAAATGGCTCCAGTGATTTCAAGAAGGAAATAATGAAAAGAATAACTAAGATTTTATCTACAAATCAAAAATCTAAAGAAAGGGAACACCGAAAGAGGAGCCAATTTGACTAAACAATCATCCAAATATCTCCAAGCCAATCAAAATAGCTAAACCAGATTCATTGCTTAAACTAAATAACAACCCAAGTCAATCCAATGAAATAGTAAAAAATACAACAAAAGAAACATAAAAATACCCTAAAATGAATTTAAATTCATAGCCCCAACTCTATTAAGCTTGTGATGCCAAGACATTTACCGGGTTGGCAAGATATCCAGTTCCTGTTGGTATTCACAAGGCAATCCTGTGAACAAACATGGGTTCAAAGCAACTTCACTGCTAACCTGCTGGAAGAGAAAGCAGTGCCTTCTTACAATAGCAATTTTGATACCACAACAATGCTCCAAGTTGCATCCTTAAGAAGGAATAGCTACTTGAGTAAGGAATAATGTGCATTCCTAAGAAGGAACAACAACTAGTCATAAACAATCAATCCATTGATCTAAATTCCAAAGTTTCAGTGATTACTATAGTGTCAATCACATTCGATCAATAATATCAACGTTCAGAAACTGTTCTAGGTTTGTAGCGCATTTGATCAGAGATCTTGCATGAATAAACGGTAAATGAAAAATAATAAAAAGCTTAAAGCAGAGATTTACAGAGCTACTGATGCTACATGAAAAATCAAAGCATCACAGAGAGGGCATTAAAATCAGAGCACCACAGAGAAACAAGGGCACATAAGACAGAGAAACCAAAACTGATAAGAAACCAAAACAATTGAAGAGGAAACCAAAAACCCAAAAATCATCATTTACTTTTGGATTGATGAAAAAAATTAAAAACAACAAAAAAATACCTGAAATAGCTTCAAGGGCTTGAAGAGTGAGGACATAATGATATGAGAGTTAACAGCTTCAGATGAGGTAGACGGATTTGCAAAGAGAGAGTACAGAGGTGTGAGAGCCCTAGAGAGATTGAGAAGATCGGGGATGAGAGAGAACACAGGAGAGAGGGGCATGAGAGAGGACCTGGGCACGAGCAGAGGAGAGCAGCGAATGGGCTTTTTTCACGGGGGCAAATCTTCCTAAAATCCTCATGCGCCCCCTGAATTGGATTCAGGTTCGTGGGTTAAAGTATCAAAATTGTGTGTGGTTTGTTCAAGGTCGCAACCTTAATCGATCAAGGCGCACCTTCAAATTTCGATCCTAAATATAATTTTGATGTAAAAAATTTTCATCATGGTAAAAAAATCTATTTTCATCATTAATTATAAAGTTTTAAAGTATTTCTATAGATATTTAAAAATAAAGAAAATAAAATTTTTAAATAATTTAATGTAAGATATAATATTTTGAGACTCAAAATCTTTTTTTCTGTTCGTAGTCATACATCTCGATGTTGAGATGATTAATCAGAAGGTTTTCCAACGTCGAAACAACTTTTTATAATGCAATTTTGAGATGCATTTTAATTGTAATTTTAAGGTTGCAACTTGATATAAACTTAGGAAATTATTGCTAAGATATCTATATTTTAATAAAATCAAAAAAAAAAAAAAAACCATCTTTCCAAAACCTAGCCTACATTTTTTTCCTCAATTTTCAGTTTTTTTTCGACGAAAGTACCATTTACAATAGTTTTTTACTGTAATGAACATTACGGTGTCACGCCCCAAGAATTTACAATACTGATATTCCTGAGATGTGACCGTCAAAACATATATACATCGCTTGATAGGATAAATTTACAGTGGCGAATTCTTACAAAGTAACAAAAGAAAGTTTAAGCACAACTACAATATCTTTCAGAGTTGATCCTGACGAGCACTCAAAATGAAACCGCAGTTATCCTGAAAAAATGTTTACCATAATTTGATGAGTTTGGCTACTCAGTAAGTAATCATCATAATCCTAAAAATAATCATGGTTGAAAGATATCAATATTTTAAAAAATGAGATTTATTAAAAGAAATGCATCAAAAGTTTCACTTTCAAAAATGCATAATTAAGTATAATTCGAATAATTGAAATGCGTATAACATTTTAACGTCAATGCATAATTCAAAAGATTTCACAAAATACCCTACTGGCATCCCAAGTAGGTCACCTATATACCCCATCAGCGTCCTAATGAGTCCACTTAATCCCTATCGGCATCCTAGATAGGTCCACTTAATCCCTACAGGTCCATTTATACCTCACCGACGTACCGGATGAGTCCACTTAATCCCTACCGGCATACCGGTTAGGTCGACTTATACCGCACCGACGAACCGGATGAGTCAACTTGCATACTTAAAGTATTTCTAAATCTCTTTAAACATTCGAAAGCAGCAATATCATGTACTCAACATATCACTGAAATTATTAATATGCATTTCACTGAAACCATTAATAACAGTCATTTTCAATAACATCTCAAAAATAACCAGTCAAATATTTTGGGCTCAAATTTAGAAAGTTAGCAGTTCATAAAGACATTTTAGTATAATTGCCAATCCAATATGTATAGAAAAACTCTTAGAAATTCAAGAATACAAAATTATCATAATTTATGGGATGTCAATTTGCAAATAAATATTTCACAGACAATGTTATAATCAAATGCAAAAATATCAGTTTTCAAATAATAAG